GATCTTCCCGGACCGGGGCACGAACCCGTGTCCCCTGCATCGGCAGGCGGACTCTCAACCACTGCGCCACCAGGGAAGCCCTATAATTGTCTTCTTACAGGTCTTCCTGCCACCAGCCTTGCCCTGTACAGTCTCTTTGCAGCATAACATCCAGAGTGGTTTGTTTTACAAATATGAGTCAGATCATGTCATTCTTCTGCCCCAAATCTCCAAAGGATTCACATCTGAGAGTAAAATCCCGAGTCCTCACAATGACCTATAAAGCCTTGGAGGACCTGGACCTGTTTACCTTTCTCAGAACCTCCTAAAGCTCATCTCACTATTCTACTGCAACAAGACTGACTCTGCTATTCCTGGAAGACTAGGCATGTGCCTCCCCTGGTGCCTTTGCACGTTCCGATCCCAATGCTTAGGGCATATTTCTCCCAGATATCCATATGGCTTGCTTGCCCATCTTCTGCAGGTCTTCTGCTCAAACGTCACCTCATCAATGAAGACTTAGTTAGCCACCCTATTTTATACCACAATACTTCTTACCCCTTCCATGCTTTTCCCCCCATAATTTTTACTAATTATCAGCATACTGGAAAATATACTTATTTACTTTTATTTTGTCTTTCTCTTACCTCTAGGTTATAAGCTTTATAAGAGCAGAAATTTTTGTCTTTTTGTTCACTCTTCTATTGCCATCTACATAACACATTTCAACTAAACACTGAATAGCATGTGTTCAGTAAGTACTTTGAATGGATGAATAAATAACTAGAGACTGAAAGCACACTCAGGGAACTTTTAATCCATCATTTATTTTATTTTATTTTTCTTACCATTATAACAATAAGTTTCATTTAAATGAGTGTCAGATTTTAAGGATATCCAAGAAAAGCAAAAAACACACTGAAACAGACTTTGAAATTTCTGGGCTGTGGGATCTTCAAATCTCTAAATTATAAAGAGAGTTTTCACCTGTGTATAGTCTCACCGTACACTCAATAAGTAGCTTGCTTTAAGGCTTAAATCTTAAAAATCAATAAGTATTGTTATAAACATTATCATACCCTTTCCTCTGTAATAAATCATTTTTTCTATTTATAAGTCACGGTTAGTCATATCCAAATTGAACCTCTTAAAGTCTTTGTGAACCACTTTTACAAAATTTCTCCTTGAAAAAAGAACTCCAATCCCTATAAACATTTGTTTACAGAACTGGTTTCTAAACATTTCTCAAGTTCTGGCAGCTCAAATAGAAGCCAGCATGCTGAAACTTACTTCTTTAGTAGAGTACATCAAAAAGATCACCTCAATTCTATGGCACATTCATGTCAACAGAACCCAGCATCAAACTTACTTTTTAATGACTGTGATAAAAATGTTATTGGAGGTCCATGAATCCCCACATACCAATCTTTTCTTGTTTTTAGGCAGGGCAATTATATCATTTTTATCTTTTGTTTGAGAGGTCAGAGACCTATTTTCATTTCTCCAAAATATGTGCATCTTTGCCTATACTTCCATGTATTTCCTAGTTTATTACTTTCTATACAATTCCTAGTCTAGCTTTCATCATTTTTTATCTGCTTTACTATTTGGTAAGATAACATTACATGGAGAAAATTTTCCTGACTTTCAACCTAATTTTTTTTTAACCTTACCCAATTATTTCCAATTTATGCAGAATTAAGATAGACTAGAGATTGGAAGATACAAACAGACAAGAACTTCACAATGGAGACTCTCTACAGTGGGATGTACTGAGATAGAACAATGAATCTTCCTCATGGAAGGGTTCACAGGGAAACTAACTACCCATCAAGAGGGAGGTAGAAAGGAAGTTGGACAGAATAATGGCTGAGAGCCCCTCCCTTTGAAATTTAAGAGTTAGAATTACATTATGATGTTAGTTTTGTTTTCAAATGAGGACTAAAATAAGTTGAACTGTTTCAATATTTTGTTTTTCATTTTTTGGTTTAAATTTATATGGTATATATTATTTTATTTCCTTAAATATTTATTACTATCTTTCCTGACCAAAATAAACTGGAAATGCTATTTTAGTATCTAGACTGCCCCCTTCTGGCTTTCATGTCCGACTCTATTAATCACTTTAATCCTCCCATACATACCCTATACTTTGCAAACTGTATGCTCAGTTCAGGGATAACGGTTTCAGTATGTTAATTTTATATATTTTATACAAAAATATGCAGACCGGTATTATGCCAACTTTCCCAAGGGTTTCTGAAGGACAGAGCAAAACTCATTTTTAAAACTTCTCTACCAGCAAAAAAAAATTTGCTCTTTTAAAATTCAAATAAAACCTGCTATTCACAACAAAGTGCCCAGGACCAAATGCAGAACTTTTGTGGAAAAAGGATAATTAACATTGTAGTTTGGAAAAACAGTACCCTCCTGTGCAGTGGCCAGTAAATTATTGGTCTTTCTTAGTCATGTCTAATTAGGATGCTTTAATTCCCTTTTAACAGTTGGGTTCATAGCATTTTATATCCAGCTACATTAAGAATTAATTTTTTGGCTTGACACCAATGCTAAATTTGCTTATCCAAACAGAAGCCATGCCAAGGGCTTGAAGGATGATGACAGTAATTAACCCAAATCATATACCAGGAGCTATTCCAATGAAAGTGTCTGTTAAATAGTGTATCTTTTCCTGATGGTAAAGCTGATCCTACAAAGGGCATGCATGTACTGCAACCTCCCACAGAATTTTTCTTGACACTAATGCCAGAGATGGAAAGGGAAGAACTACTGGGCTGATCAAATAGCCATTTCTTATTCTGATAAACAAAATGGGAAATGTGGAGAAATGGGGGCATGTACCTCAGTTTAGAATTTCTAGAGGTCAGTTTGATATTAGAGATATCAAATGATTTAGAATGTAGCATATCTCATGCTCCTATGTCCCTACAAGGGACCATGAGAGATGTGTAAAGAGAATTATCATTACAGCAATAATTAAAGCAGAAAAAATCTGCAACCCGTATAAATTTTGATTTTGATAAATCTTAATATAGTAAAATGATAAAATATTATGTTGCCATTTGACAAAATATAATGCTGTAATAGAATAATATTTGAGGTACATTAAATACTGAGTTACAAAGACCATGGGTAAATTTTTTTTTTAAATTAAGACTTGTTAGAGAGCAACATTTGAATTATGATACCACACATATAGAGAAAAGACTATAGCAATCCTCACCAGCATGTTAGCACCAAATATCTCTGGAATATAGCATTGTGAGTATTTTGCTTCTGCTTGTCCTCCTCTGTTTTCTCCCTTCTCTCTTTGCTCCTTTTGTGCCATTCTGTATTTTCCAAACATTTCTTCAGTAACACAGTTCCAGAGGAATTGACAGCTACTTGGTGATTGGTTGGAAATGTGTCAATGTTGAGACAGAGGAAGCGTCGTGGCCAGAGAAAGCTTTTGAGGAGGTAGGAAATAACTGGTTTCGTGTAGGAGATCGGATGAGTTACAAAGACCATGGGTAAATTTTTTTTTTAAATTAAGACTTGTTAGAGAGCAACATTTGAATTATGATACCACACATATAGAGAAAAGACTATAGCAATCCTCACCAGCATGTTAGCACCAAATATCTCTGGAATATAGCATTGTGAGTATTTTGCTTCTGCTTGTCCTCCTCTGTTTTCTCCCTTCTCTCTTTGCTCCTTTTGTGCCATTCTGTATTTTCCAAACATTTCTTCAGTAACACAGTTCCAGAGGAATTGACAGCTACTTGGTGATTGGTTGGAAATGTGTCAATGTTGAGACAGAGGAAGCGTCGTGGCCAGAGAAAGCTTTTGAGGAGGGAGGAAATAACTGGTTTCGTGTAGGGCGTGTTTGAGATAATCAAGCAGAGACGAAGTAGGTGGCAAGTAGGTTTTTTACTGTATGGATCTGGAGCTCAAGGAAGAGGTACGGACTTGAGAAATCCGTGTGATTGTCACCCACAAAGACGAAGGTTGTTGAAACTGGGAATGGATGAGAGTGCTCAGAAAAGAGTGTGGAGCATAGAAAGGAAATAATGACTAGAGCTGAGCCTCAGGAAATACAAACGTTAAAGGAAGACAGAAACTAATGGAGGCCCAGAGAGGTGGGGGAAAACACAAATGTGTGGTGGTAGAGAAGTAAAAGGAAATGTCTCTTCCACAAGGGAATGGTCAATGATGTTAAATGCCATGGAGAGTTTAAGTGAAATAATTTTTAAAGTATCCCATGAATACAGCAATAAATATTGTACTTATTTTATCAAGGCCCCGTTGATGGAAACCGTTTCAGCCAGGTGCCAGAAAGTTAGAGGAGAAAAAGGTGGTTTGGCAGAAAAATGTTTGGCTACAGAAAGAAGGCAAGAAGTAGGATAGTGACTGAACATAGAGTTGAGGGTGGAATCATTTCTGTGGTGATGGTATTAATTATACGATGAGAAAAATGTGGAGTTCTCTGTGGGCTGAAGGGAAGGAGTCTCTAGAAAGGAAGAAGATGAAGATTAGAAAAGAGAGGAAACAATTCGGAGTCGCCTAGATTTGTCTTAAGCTAAGAATCCCTTGCATCATTTGTTTAAAAGACAGATTTCTAGAGGGGAAATCTTATAATCTGCATTTTTCAAAAACACTGTCAAGTGTGTCATTGACAGGAAAGTGTGGAAACGCTATATTTAATTAATGTATTTTGAGAAAATGGGGCAGAATGGGATTCAGCTCATAATGTTATCCTTAGATCTGAGGAGAAAACTACCTTTGTTTTTTACAGGAGAGAATTAGAAAAGGCTGGGTGGAGATGCAGATAAAAATAGAAGTGTGGTGACTGACTTCCCTATCTGCTTTGACTTTCTCCATCAAGTAGGACATGGGGGCCCCTTCTGAGAGAGATGCAAGAATTTCTGGGCACTATAAAAACCTGGGTGGAAGGAAGATATTAATTTATGGTGGAGCCAGTTTGCTGGGCTCTGTGATCTTTTGAAGCAGCACTCCGCAGATGGGCAGCAAGTGTGACAAAGTTTTAACATTGAAATTTAATTGAAAGAAAGCTGTTAAAAGTTCAGAATGTCACCACAGTTTGGATGACATGGTAATCATGGAGTACAGGTTGGATAATAAAAGGAATCGAGACAGGGCCTAGGTTTGCCTGGAGCTGAGAGTTTCCCGGATGTGGGACAGTCAGTGCTAAAACCAGGAATATCCCAGGTGAACCAGGATCGTTAATCATCTTAGGGGGCAAGGATGATAGAAAGTTACATTTGGGAACTGGGGGTCTAGGTAGAATAAAAACCAAATACAGTGAGAGTAACTGAATGTACAATTTAGAAATAGAAAAGGTTATGTTATGGCCAGGGACTGAAACAATTGGAGTCAAGTTTTCAAAGGTGGATTAGTTCCAGGTAATAAGATTCATGGTTTGCGGTCGTGAAAGTTGATGGCCAATGTAGAATGCAGATGCAGGACTCTGGAATTATGAAGGTCATGAAGGTGAAAAGAGATTGAGTTTAATACATTTGTCCTTGTCAGCTGTGACATCACCCAGAATGGTGACAGAACGAAGTGGGACGAATTAGCCCGATGCTAGTCTTCTGATAGGACAGGAGGTGAGTAGATGCAGAGGCACAGATTATGGTACAGCCAGATGGCATTGTCTTACACAATCTAGGGATTTGGCTCAAGTTTGAAGGATAATTATCTAGAAGAAGCAGTGAAAAAAATCATACAATATGCCCTGGCCCTAAAATATATGGGGTAAAAAAGAATAAACGATCTCCCTTCCAGAAGATTAAAGGAACATTGTTATTATCACGGCAAGTCAGGTCTCTGTTAATGAAGCAGAAGAGTGTGCAGCAAAGTGGTTGAGAATGTTTAACTTTTAAAAAAATGTTTAGTTGATCTAAAAACCTAAAAAAATGTACATCGTCTTGCTTTATCAGGCCCTTATTGGATCAAGGAAAACAGTTCTCAGTGAGAAAAGAAAAGGTCCCTGTTGGTGGGGTAAGCACCAGAATAACTAGTGTTATTTGTTACTAACCACTCAAATATAAATGTTATTAATAAATACCATATGTTTTTCATTGAGTTTGAGGAAGGTTGCTATATGATAGTTTGAAGAAATTGAATTAAATGGAACAGTTGGACATTATAGTGGTGTCGAATTAGGATTACATGTTATTTAGCTATGTATATTCTGGTTTACTAATAATAGTAACTAACATTATTTCAACTTTTATTTTTAAGTGCTCAGGACTGTGCAGGCACTTTGCTTGTACTTATAAGGTGGCTACTAGCATTTCTCCAATTTATAGATGAGTAAGCTGAGGATTAGAGTAGTTAGTAACTTAGACCAAGATCATAAAGCTTAGGATATGTCAGTGCAGGATTTAAATCTAGCTTGTGTGACTTTTAAGTAGAGTAACTTATTTTTTTTTTGAAACAATTTTGCTTTTAGGTGAAGTTCTCAATCATTCTGAAGTACCTCCAAGCCTTCGGCTGGCTCTGGGTATGGCTGAATGTGGCCACTTACCTGGGGCAGAATTTGGTGGGAATTGGACAGAATCTATGGCTTAGTGCCTGGGCAAAAGAAGCAAAGCACATGAACGATTTCACAGAATGGAAGCGAATAAGAAGCAATAAACTTAACATCTATGGATTATTGGGATTAATGCAAGGTTAAACAAAAAGTCTAGCTGCTTTTCTTTTCTCTCTCTAACCTAATTGATTCAGATGCAAACATAGGGCATTGTTTTACTTTTTAAAAATCTATGTCATAATATTCAAATACTTTGGGATAATTCAAATGCCTATGTTTTTAATTCACCATATTTGCAAGAGTAAACAAAAACTTGTATGTGTCAACTACATGGCCCACACTGAATATTATCAATCTGTCTCATTTAATCTTGACAATAAGTATTTAGAAAGGTGTCATTATCCCCATTTTACAGCTGAGGAAACTGAGTCTCACATGTTAAGTCAGTCAGGACTCAGAAGTCTTGAATACGTGGCTGTCCACTGCATGTGTGAGGCTTGTGACTGATGTGAAGATCAGTAAGTGAGTCTTAAAAACTGCATTGTAAGTAAAGCTTAAAACTACACTGCAAGCAATATTCGTGTAAAAGTACTAAAAGAAAACACTGTGAGGATTTAGAGCAGGGGGAAGCCATATTTGGTTGAGAGATTAAGGTAATTTCCAAGGCATAGTTGGCATTTGAGGTGACACTAAAAAGATGGGTGGAATTTTGTCAGGGGTCACAGAGGACAAAAGCTGATAGATGCAGAGAAAGATGTGAATAAAGACGGATGGGGAAGGTGAGGGGGATATAGGCATAGGTGAGGATGCCAGTCTGAGTAGTCTTTAGGTTATTGATAGGGCAGTAGGGGAACTGGAGGTGGAAAGGTAGTTTGGAGATGATAGTTGGAAAGGCAAGTCGAAAACTTTGAGAACTGGGGGAAAAAGAAGTGACAGAATTTGGAGTTATTTTTCAGAATAAGAATAAATTTTCAGTGATGAAAAAAGGTGGATTTTTATTGGTGGGACTAAAGTCAGAGACCAGGGAGAAGTTGGGGTTGGTAGGGAAAAAATAATCAAGGATCTTCAGGAGTCTAGATGGGAGATAATCTAGTACAAAAAGATCTCTTATCTGACGCATCTCCTTGTCACCCAAAGCATCTAGACTAGTGCTAACCAATGGGTAGGGAATGGAATAAGATTTGAATAAAGTATGAATGGAGGAAGGGTCAGAGAGCTGCAGTGGGACTGGAGAAAAGGGATGGATAGGAAAGACACTGTGGTGAAAACATATGTAAGAATTGCTGATTTGGGGGTAGGAAGAGAACATCACTCATGATTTTGAAGTTTGGGTAATTGAGAGAACAATGAAGACAAAAATAAAGAAACCAAGGACAAGGGAAGTCAGTTGGCAGAGCAGAGAAATGATTAATTCAATTTGGAGCACATTTAATGGGAAGTGTGGATACATAGTTTTCTGCTGTTTTTTTTCTCCCCAGTAGCAGAATAGATACACATTGTCCTTCAAAGAAGTTAGGTGATTTGAAAGAGTAAGAAGAAAGACACTCAAAAGTATAATACTCAAAAGTGTAGAACAATTAAAGGGAAGATATTTTTAATTAATTAATTAACTTTTGGATGTGTTGGGTCTTCATTGCTGCGCGCAGGCTTTCTCTAGTTGCGGCGAGCAGGGGCTACTCTGTTGCGGTGCGCGGGCTTCTCATTGCGGTGGCTTCTCTTATCGTGGGGGCACGGCCTTTAGGCACGAGGGCCTCGGTAGCTGTGGCTCGCGGGCTCAGCAGTCGTGGCTCTAGAGCGCAGGCTCAGTAGTTGCGGCACACGGGCTCAGCCGCTCCGCGGCATGTGGGATCCTCCCGGACCAGGGCTCGAATCTGTGTCCCCTGCGTTGGCAGGCAGATTTTTAACCACTGAACCACCAGGGAAACCCAAGGGAAGATTTTTTAAATAGACAATTTTTGATGTGTTTATAAGAAGACAGGAAGACAAAGTGAAGGACAGTGATAAATTCAAATAAGAAATAACAAAGCCATCTACGTGGAAGTCTTGCTGTCTAGGGATACGCATAAGGGAAAACAGAGATGCATGCTTTCGGTAACAGAAAATGAAGGTAACATTTAAAACTTTGTGATGTAGGGCCTTGCTTCTGTTTTCTGCTCTCCTGTCTTAGGAGGAAAGAGTTGTTATGTTAACAACTAAAATGAGATACCAGGACTTAGAATGCGTCTAGTTTTGAGTCAGTGAATCAAGTTTTTTGGCTTGTGGTTTGCAGCTCGAGGAAAAAGTAGGTATAGACAACTAGAATGCTGAGCAGCAAAAGAAATGTCCCATATACATCTCTATATCTATGTCTGTCACACATATATAGGAGGGTTAAACTCTTACCAATCCAGTGAGCTCATGTTACAGTTTTAAGGGAGACTCAATATCCTTCGGAGAATATTTTAAGTGAGCAAGTACTGTTTTTCCTATACTAGACAAGGTATGCAAGTTTAGTGTTCAAAATTTTACTTGTGTAAAGTCTTACTTTTAATTAACTCTCAGTAGGTATAGAAAGTATTTTGTAGTAAAGGTAACAGATTATGCAGAGTTTAATCAAAAAGATTTTTTCCTGATTGGATTTTTGTTTTTTACATTTAAAAACATTTAACTTTTTGACTTATTATTAAATACAATTTTATAAATTATTTCTTAAGAAATGAAAATATATAATTTCTGACTTTTTTAGTAGTCCGCAGCTGTGTCCTATGGAACCTGGTTCAATCAAGAGCAGGCTGTATTCACTGATATCATCAAAGCTCACATTATTTTTTGAGCTTTAAAACATAAATAGCACTTTCACATGTTAAAGCCAGAGGCTATGAATAATATAGAAGGCTAACATTCAAAGAAAACTGGAGTACTGAAGCAGAAAACATTGCATCTATATTTTATAACAATAATAAAGATCTTAACCTTATCTTCTGAAAAAGAAATAGCCCTGAACATTTTATTCCTGGTTCCCAGCTATTTCCTTTAGAATCTCTAGGGCACTCTGAACATCCTTAATCTATTGTGTTTTATGCCCCCTTGTTAGGAACTTCCTTTTCCAACCCAATGTGTAAAATATAGGTGCCTTATTTTCCAAGTGCAATGTTTAAGGAGTACACCAGTCTAAGATGAGTGAGTGGATCATTTACTTACCTCACAAAATTCCACTGAAATGACAGTGGATAAATATAAAAGTAAAGGGTTCAGGGGATTTCAGAGTGATAAATGACTACATAAGCGATTATACTGATAATCAAGGGTAGAAGAACCTGTAACCAGGAACAGATACTAGATGAAACTGTAAAAGAATAGGGAGCGGTT